GGTAATCAGGATGCTCATAGAAATGACTGCATACAGACGCAAAATAAAGGAAGAAGTGAAGGCTATACAGAGTGAAATAAAGAAAAATATACAGGGAACCAACAGTGAAGGGAAGGAAACTGGGACTCAAATCAACCATTTGGAATGGAAGGAAGAAATAAACATTCAACCATAACAAAATGAAGAAACACAAATTCAAAAAAAATAAGGAGAGCCTTAGGAACCTCTGGGACAACTTTAAATGTTTCAACATCTGAATCATTGTTGTACCAGAAGGAGAGGAAGAGCAAGAAATTAAAAACTTAGTTGAAAAAATAATGAAGGGAAAACTTCCCCAATCTGGTGAAAGAAATAGACATGCAAGTCCAGGAAGCACAGAATCCCAAACAAGTTGGATCCAAGGAGGGACACACCAATACACATCATAATTATATTACCCAAGATTCAAAATTAGGAGAGAATCATAAAAGCAGTAAGAGAAAAGGAGATAGTTACCTACAAAGGAGTTCCCATAAGTCTCTCAGCTGATTTCTCAAAAGAAACCTTGCAGGCAAGAAGGGTCTGGAAAGAAGTATTCCAAGTCATGAAAGGTAAGGACCTACACATCCAAGATTACTCTATCCAGCAAACCTATCATTTAGAATGAAAGCGCTGATAAAGTGCTTCCCAGATGAAATAAAGTTAAAAGAGTTCATCATCATCAATCCCTTCTTATATGAAATGTTAGAGAAAGAAGATAAAAACTATGAACAGTAAAATGACAACAAAACCTAAAAAACAAAAACAAACTAAGCAAACAACTAGAACAGGATCAGAAATGGAGATCACATCGAGGGTTATCAGCGGGGAGGGGAAGGGGGGGAATGGGGCAAAAGATACACGGAATAAGGAGCAAAACTGGTAGGTACAATATAGATGGGAGGTTAAGAACAGTATAGGAAATGGAGAAGCCAAAGAACTTATACATACGACCCATGGACAGAAACTAAGGGGAGGGAGGAATGCTGGTGGGAGGGACGGTGAAGGAGGATAAAGGGGAGATTAAAAATGGGACAACTATAATAGCATAATAAATAAAATATACTTAAAAAAAACCCACCACAGATTAACAACTGAAGGAAACAGCCACAGATGGTAGATTCCTGGAAGTCTTGAACAGACTGCCTAAGATCACACAGGGTCAACATCTGCCACCGTCAGAGGCAGATCCAGAAAGAAAAACAGCAGTCTCCAACCAAAGAAGTTCACACCACAAAGTCAGGAGAACAAGACAGATCAATTTAAGAAGCAGAAGCAAAAAAGGAGAGTCTCACAAATAATGGAAAGACAAAGAAACACCCCCAATCAAAGGGAAAGGAGGAATCCCCAGAAAGAGAACTAAATGAAGTAGAGGCAAGTAAACTACCAGATATTGAGTTCCAAACAATGGTTCTAAGGAAGCTCAGTGAGCTCAGTGAGCTCAGAGAGAATTACCAAAAACTACAGGGAAACTATGAGGAACTAACTGCAAACTATATCAACATGAAAAAGGACACAGAAACTATCAATAAGAGACAAGAGGAAATTAAGAATACAATTTCTAAATCGAAGAACACAGTAGAAGGAATCCAAAGCAGGCTCGATGAAGCTGAGGACCAAATCAGCGAGCTGGAGGGTAAGGTAGAAAAAGGCTCCCAGAAAGAGCAAGAAAATGAAAAATGACTCAAGAAGAATGAAGAGGCATTTAAGGAAATGCAGGACAACCTGAAACATAGTAATATCCACATAATAGGGATCCCAGAAGGAGAAGACGACGAGGAAGGGATAGAGAACCTGTTTGAAAAAGTCATGATGGAAAACTTCCCTAATTGGAGGAGAGAAAAAGTCACACAAGTCCAGGAAGCACAGAGGGTCCCATTCAAGAGGAACCCAATGAGGCCCACTCCAAGACACATCATCATTAAAATGGCAAATATCAAAGACAAACAGAGAATCCTAAAGGCTGCAAGGCAGAAACAGGTAGTAACATACAAGGGAGTCCCACTATGGCTAGCAGCTGACTTCTCAACAGAAACTCAAGCCAGAAGGGACTGGCAAGAAACATTCCAAGTCATGAAAAGCAAAGGCCTGCAACCAAGACTACTCTACCCAGCAAGGCTCTCAATTAAAATGGAAGGCAAAATAAAGAGTTTCCCAGACAAAAGGAGGCTAAAAGAATACGCCTCCAGCAAATCAGCATTGCAAGATATGCTAAGGGGACTGCTTTAAGATGATGAAGGAAAAGAGTCTATGAATACCCAGACCCCTTCACAGTCACCAAGTACTTGATTATTAGCAATATTTTCAATACTTATTGAGTGTGACAATTATGTGTTATTTCATTACTTTGTTGAAACTAAACCTGTTTTTGTATTAAAAAACAAAACAAACAAAAAACCAACCACTATCAGATACTTCACATCCACAAGGATGACTATATTAAAAAGAGAGACAGTATCAAGTGTCGACAAGGATAGAGAGAAACTGGAGCCCTCACACACCACTGGTGGGGATGTAAAATGGTGTGGCTGCTGTAGAAAACTATTTGGCAGCTCCTCCAAAAGTTAAACCCAGAGATACCATATGACCCAGCACGCCATTCCATTCTTAAGGTATATATGCAAGAGAACCAAAAAACATATGTTCACATAGACACACAAAAAAACTGCACATAACAATATTATTAATAATAGCCAAAAAAAAGTGGAAACAACCCAAATGTATTAAAAAAATGTAGTATATTCATTTAATGGGATATTATTTGGTCACAAAATTATCAGGTACTGAATGGAATTGATGAGCCTTGAAAACATGATAAAGGCAGACACAAAAGTTCACATATTATATGATTCCATTTATACAAAATGCCCAGAAAAGGCAAATCCATAGGGACAGAAGGTAGATTAGTGGTTGCCAGGAGCAGGGCAAGGGGGAAATGGGGACTGACTGCCAATGGTACAGGCATCTTTTGGGGTTGATGAAAATGTCCTAAAATTAACTGAGGTGCTGGCTGCACAACTCTCAATACACTAAAAACCACTGAGTGTGTACTGAGTTGTACACTTAGAAAAGGTAAATTTTGCCCTGGCTGGTGTGGCTCAGTGGATTGAGAGCCAACCTGAGACCCAAAAGATCACCAGTTTGATTCCCAGTCAGGGCACATGCTTGGCTTGTGGACCAGGCCTTCCAGTCGGGGCCATGCAAGAGGCAACCGACTGATTTCTCTCACACACTGATGTTTCTCTCCCTCCCTTCCCCTCTAAAAAAATAAATCTTTTTTTTAAAGGTAAATTTTACTGTCTGTGAATTTTCACAAACAAAACAAAAAAAGATACACCTAATTGGGGAAAAAAAAAATCACATGGTTTCTGGCCACACTTTCCATTGAAATGTAAAATTAAAACCCTACTGGGCTTCTGTCCTCTACTTCATTTCTGAGACTTGGGAGTTGCTAACCTGTTTTTCTAATCCATGGTTTGGTAGAAGCCTCCAGAAGCCACTCCTCCTTTTACTTAGTGCTTGGAAAGAGATCTCACCCGTGGGCAACTTACCCTGAGGGCTCTCGGTCTGGGTAATGCTCATCTCAAGAAGTTCCTCATATCGAGGCTATCAGATTCTCCCCGCTCCAGCCCTAAGGAAAAACCAACCTTCCCAGACACCTTGACTTCAGAGCTCCAGCCTCCAGAACTGAGAGACAATGTTGTTTAAGCTCCCCCCATACACATACTTCGTCATACACAGTGACCCGGTATACCCATTTAAACATTATATACAGGTAGAAAACTTGTTACATGCAGAACTGCATGCTTTTAAATATTATTTAAAAAAATTTATGTATACATATTTCCAGATTTTTCAACTGGACCAATGAAATTTCCAGAAAAAGCCCAAGTCTAAAGTCTGTGCTCTACTTGTGGTAGTGAACACATAATATACAAATGATGTATTATAAAATTATACACCTGAAACCTGTCTAATATTATTAACTAGTCACCCTGATAAATTCAATAAAAATTACAAATATTAAGTCTGGGCTCTAGTACTGCCCCAGTGCCCTACACACTGGAGGTGTCCCATGTGGTCCTTTGTTTCAGAGGCTGATGATACCTCATTACAACGTAAGTGTAGGGTTTACATTCCTGTTCCACCCCTTAAGTTAGCTGTGTGACTTTGGGCAAGTTGCATAAACTGTGTGCCTCAGTTTACTCTTTACTAAAATGGAACTAGAGATACCTGCCCCTTGGTGTTCAGCAAAAATAAAACACTGATGACGCTCTGAACACAGCATCTGGTACCCAGCGACGTGAGGCAGCTATTGTCTGTGTACATCCTGTATATCCTATGACAAATCTTTTTCTTCCCGTATTTGTATCTTGACTAATTGATATTAGCTCTCTTAATCAGCTTCATCTGTAAACATCAACGTGAAAAGACCATTGAGAGCGTACAAAGAAAAAGAGGAGAACTCCTAGGACACATCAAGGGCTCGAAAATACGCTCCTTTCTTCTCGGTCTCTAACGGCTAAGGCGGCTTCATTGGCATCACCCTGCGGCCCCAATGTGCTCCTCCCAGCTGACACTCCGTAAATGCTGCTGAGCAGCTCCCAGGCGCAGCTGGGACAAACGAGTGATGTATCTCTCCAGCAACGCCAACCATAACTCCACGTCGGGGAGCCATTTTTTCCAGTCAGGAAAATGAAAAGGTGTACAGAACCTAACGAGGGAATTAGCCCTCCCACCAATCCCCCCTTTCCCAGGAGAGCCCGGTCCCAGCACAAAGACCGTATTCAACACTGGCAAAGACCTTCCTCTCTCCCATCAGCTAATGGGAATACGGGGTGGAGATCGAGTGACTGGGGAGGTCTGGGTGGACGTGGGGCTTAAGGCCCGAGACCAGGGGGTGAGGGGTTAATGGGGGCTGGACAACCTCGAGGAGGCTAGGCACTGGGATTTATCCTTTGAGGGAGGGGGTCGGGCCTCACCTTCGCCCGCTTGCGCCGGCTTGTCCGTCGTCCCTCCGGAGTCTCTGCGATTCCCGTTTCCATGGGGGTCGCAGATCCAGGCACGACGGTAGGCCCGGCCTGAGGCGCGGCGGACCCTGGCGGCTCAGCCAGGCCCCCAGGAGGCGAAGCCCGCGGAGGCTCCTTCTTGCGGGGAGTGCGCTCCCCGGCCACTCCTGGCCCGGCCTCCGCAGGGCCCGACGGGCCCGCCGGCGGCGCGGCCACCTCTGAGCCGTTCTCCGAGCCGGCCGCGGCCCCAGCGCTGGCCTCCGAGCCAGCCGCCGCGGCCGCGGCCGCTGCCGCCGCGGCAGCTGCAGCCGCCGCCTTCTTCCCGGACAACATCTCGGACCGCCTGGCTGCAGACAGCCGAAGGGTCAGCTCAGGGCGTGAGTCCGTGAGTACCCAACCTCCTCGCCTCGCTTCACTCCACGCAGTCCGCGCGCTAACAACCGCCGCCGCGTACGCACGCGCGGAGCGCGCTCCCGTCGCGTCCGGACAAAAAGCCCGGAGACGCCCACAGCCCCGCCCTCCCCCGCTGCCATAGAACGGCGTTCTCGCGGCTAGAGCGGCACCATGGCAGGGCGCGCGATGCTTTCCTAGAGCGTCTCCTTGGCCTCTAGAGTTGGCCCCAGCACCATCCTGGTCCCAGGATTTCTGGGCCAGACTGCACCTCCGAAGGCGACCGCTTCATCCAGAGACTTGAACGCACTTATTAATTAATTAATTCACCTAATAATCCGTCAATTCAACCAATATTTATTAATGCTTACTAGGTGACAAGGGTTTAATTAGGGAGTTTTTGCTTTCAAAGAGCATATGGTCTACGGAAGGGACATACTGAAATGGAATTGGTAGATCATGTTATTTATAATTGTCCTGCTTGTACTGGGGCAATTTTGGAAAGTAAGAGTTTCGTGGTAATGAAATGGACAGCAGTTAAAAAATCCAGTTTTGAATCCAATAGGATTGCTCTTGCAGCCAAAGCTTTGTTCGTGTCCTCTTCCATTTGCACTCCCTCGCTCGTATCTCCTTCCCTTTTCTACGCTCCCCCTCACAGATATAATACCTAGTCTACAACAGGATAATTCTAATGCTGCTGCTGATGGTAGTAATGGTTTATTCTTTTAATTCCAGGAATCCTTCACTGACCCAATACTGGAACAAGATTTGTGTTCTTTTAGCTTATTTCCACAGAACTATAATTGTTTTTTTACACGTCTCTTCAAAATATACCGTAATTTTCAAAAAGTGATTCCATTTACATGAAGTTCGAGAATTGGTAAACCTAGTCTCTGGTGATAGAATCCAATCAGGTTGCCTGGGAGGAGCGGGGCGCGGGGGCGGGGGGGGGGCGGTTACCTGCAAAAAAGCAGGAAAGAACTTACTGGTGGTGATGAAAATGTTTTATATCTGGATTGCGGTGTTATATACATTAGTCAAAACTGATTGAACTGTACAAGTGAAATAGGTATGTTTTATTTTATGTTGATTGTACTTCAATGAAGTTGATTTAAAAAACTAAGCAAATAAAAAAAGAGGTAATAGCTATGCAAGAAAGCGCAGTCATAGTACATGTGGCTCACCTGTGAGCTACATGGGCCTAGTAACATAAGCAATGAATGTTGTTTTAACCCAAGTGATAAAATTATATTGCGAGAATAGAGAAAAGAGAAAGTCTGTGGAGGAGAGGGATGAGAAGGTAAGAGGGGTTTACAGAAGGGGGTGAAGTGAGGATGGGGGAGTTTCTGCAGGGGAGCTAAATCCTCATCTATCATAAAAAGATAATATATAATATCAAAATTGAGAAATCAAGAAATAACAGTATAAACATACTATTTGGTTACATCAAGATAAATACCAGAAAATCAATACCAGCTAAAAGAGTTGGAATTGTTTCTCTGAGTCACAGACCTTGAGGGTGTGAAGGGGTGAGACAGGAGGATGAAGTTTGCGTGCTCTACATTCTGTGGGGTTTTTTTGTTCTTTTAAGCAGCCAAGTCTCTTTTTATGACTCGTACAACTCCTGGATTTCTATTTAACAAGGTCAAAAAGTATGAAATTCTACCAGTGCTGAAGTCATGTGCAAGGAACAGTTCATACATCCTGTAGTTCTATGTGACTTGTTTGACATATAATAATTTGTTAAAACTTAAAATTAGATTTTTAGAATATGCATATGGTTTGGCCCAGGAATTCCACTATCAGGAAAACATTCTCTGGAAATATTTAAGTATGTGTACAAAGATTTAACTTCAATGCTGTTTATCTCAGGTTGTATCTAATAACAATCAACGAGAACTAAGCTAAAGACCCCCAAAATAGTGACTAATTGAATATATTAGAATATCATAGCCTTTAAAATTGACACTTGAACATTAAGAACTTCCATACTAATGAATATTTGTCAAAGATTTATTTTTAAAATTTTATTTATTGATTTTAGAGACAAACATCAATTTGTTGTTCCACTTATTTATGCATTCATAGGTTGATATTTGCATGTGCCTTGACCGGGGATCAAACACACAATCTTTCTTTCTTTCTTTCTTTTTCTTCCTTCCTCCCTCCCTCCCTCCCTCCCTCCCTCCCTCCCTCCCTTCCTTCCTTCCTTCCTTCCTTCCTTTCTTCCTTTCTCTCTCTTTCTTTCTTTCTTTCTTGAAAGAAACAGCAGGATGATAAAGTTAGTTCAAAGGAGAATATGAAAAATTGCTATACCTAGTCATTGCTCAGTGGAAAACAGAATGCTAGAATAAGATTGCGAAGTATTTTTATCTAAGAAAAAAGCAGTTAATGCCTTACAATGCCTTAAAACTAAACTTTGGGGATTATCTTTTCTCTTAGACAGAACTCATTTGCATTTATTTGCCCTCCCCCTAAAAAATCATTTGCAACTTGTCCATTTTTTTCCCCCCAAAAGTACAGGTATACCTTAGAGATACTGCAGTTTTGGTTCCAGACCACCATGCTAAAGTGGGTATCACAATAAAGTCAATGTAACGTTTTTGCTGGTGGAGGGTGTTGCTTCCATTTGTAAAAAACACAACACCGGTGAAGTAAAATAACTAATTACTTTCATTTTCTTAAATTGTGTTAAAATACATATAAAAATTACCATCTTAACAGTTCTTAATTAATTTTAAAGATTTTATTTATTTACTTTTAGAGAGCAGGGAAGGGAGGGAGGAAGAGAAGGAGAGACACATCACTGTGCGAGAGATACATGGATAGGTTGCCTCTCATTCACCCCCGACTGGGGACCTGGCCCACAAGCCAGGAATGTGCCCTGACTGGGGGTCGAACTGCAGGCCGGTGCTCAATCCACTGAGCCATACCAGCCAGGGCTTAACCATTTTTAAATGTACAGTTCACTAGTGTTAATTACATTCATATGGTTGTACAATCTCCAGAACACTTTTCATCCTGAAAAACTCTATACCCATTAAACAGTAACTCTCCAACACTCTCCTGCCCCGACCCCCAGCCTCTGCCAACCACCATTCTATTTTCTGTCTCTATAGACTTGACCTAAATACTTCATATAAATGGAAACAAACAGCTTTTGCCTTTTTGTGACTGGCTTATTTCACTTAGCGTCATCTCCTCTAATTTCACCCACATTGTAGCATGTGTCAGAGTTTCCTTCATTTTTATCCATTCATCTGTTGGATTTTTGGGTTGCTTCCACCTTTTGGCTATTACGAATAATACTGCTGTGGACGTGGGTGAGCAAATATCTCTTCCAGACCCTGCTTTAGGTTCTTTGGGGTATATATTCCCAAGTGGAATTGCTAGAACAACTTACCGATTTTCTAAAAGTTAACATTTGACTTCACAGAGTGGGAACCCTAACCTATATTAAATGGTAAGTCAAATAAAGTTACTTTCTCCTAAAGTAGCAGGTGACCAACAGGTGGGCCAATTAGAGAATATTCTAGTATTACTGTGAACAAACTTGCAGTAAACTTTTAGGCTTACTTTCAAATTTTGGATAATTTTTCTTTGCAGCCTCCCTCACTATGAGGGTAGGGGAGGTACTGCTGGCTATTTTATTCTCAGTGGCCAGGCCCAGGAGCACTGTTGAATGAATGAGGTATCACTAAGGCCTACATCACCTGGCTCTTGTGAGGGCATAATGAGGTGATGCTTGGAAACTGTCTGTCAAAGTCTGACACATAGTGACTGCTTAAGACGTAGGAGTAGTTAATATTATTGTTATGCAGCAGCTGGAGGCTGGGGGCTGGTCATGACTCAGAGGATGGGGCAGTCATGACTCCTGTTATGGAGGCAACTGTCCCAGACAGGGGAATGAGACTGGGTGTTGGGGCCTGGGTGCCACCAAGCCAGAATGCTGGGAGAACTAATATCCTTTTTTAGGAATCTCCACGAGATACTTGATTCCTCAGGTGCCACAGGAGCATTGGTGGCTTGGCTGATCAGCTATAAACCAGCCTTGTTTGGATTCCTATTTCTTCTGCTATTGCTTAGCAACTGGCTGGTCAAGTATGAACTCAAGCCCATCCCTCCAGAACCCCAGCAGGTGAGCAAGAGGAGCCTTAAGCTTCAGCTGAGGGTGAGGGGATATTTATGGCTGGGTTGAGGTTTGGGGGACAGGAAAGGTGTCAGAATAATGGGGCAAGACTGAGGAGTCCACGACTCTGGTCTAAGTCCCTGCTCTGCAGCTGCCTCTTGGGTGATGAAGGACCAAGCACAACCCTCACAAGGCTTCAGGTGCCTCAACTATAAAATTGGGACTTTTCCCACACTCTCCTACTTCAGGTTTGATGTCCACACGCTTTGGCAACAGTAACAACTACTTTAAAGGAAAAAATGAAAATGGATGAACTAAAGACATGTATAACACAGATACATCTCTAAAATATAACAAGATAGGAGAGATGTACGTGGATTATGATGCATACAAAGTTAAAATGTTTAAAATAATACCCTATCTTGTTTATGAATGCACATATTTAGTGACAGTACATTAAGGCAGGATTTTTCAACTACCACATGATTGACATTTGGGGCTGGATATTATTGTGAGGGGCTGTCCTGTGCATTGTTAGATGTCTAGCAGCTTCCCTAACCTCTACCCATAAGATACCACTAGCATCCATCACCACTTTTGTGACAACCAAAAATGCCTCCAGACATTGCCAAAGGTCCCCTGGGGACAGCGAAATAGCCTCTCATTGAGAACCACTGGTATAAAAAAAAATGCACGGAAAAAGCAAAAACCAAATTCAAGACTGCAGTTGAGGTGAGGTTCAGGGAGGGAGGGGAAACACTCTAGGTAAGGGACTTACCATTACATTTGTGATATTTCTTTTCTTTTTTTTCCCCTTTACCCCCCTCCCTCCTTCCCTCTTGTTACTGTCGGTTTGTTTTTTTCTTCCAGTGTTGCTGGGTATATTTTTCTTGTTTGTTTTGTTGATAACGATATTTTATTTCTTAAGCTGGTGTGGGGACATGGGTATTTGTTGCAATAGTTACTTTTTCTGTGTATGTTTGAAATATTTAATTTTGAAAAGGCTCTAAAGACCAGAAGTTTGTAGCTGAATCCAAAAAGAAAAGATAAAGTATGATCATGCTGGGTGAGAGGGCAGATGAGGAATATGGAGATCTGAGTCTGTTGCGAGAACGGAGACTTGGCGGCTGGAGACTTTACAGGGTTGGACAAAACTCTGGGGCGCGCTGGGGAAGAGCACAGTTCTGGAGGCAGATACGTTTGCAGATACGTTTGCGTTAAAGGTTCTCTGTTCTTTGCAAGCGCAGGTTAGCGGCCATTTTATCTGTTCCCATGCATCGAAGGGGTCCTGGACATGTGGGGTCTCCCCTGCAGGCTGGGTGATGCTGAGAAAGGGACCTTCCCTTAAGGGATCCCAGTGCTCTCACCCGCAAGACGCTCTCCCGGCGGGACTGGGTATGCGCATTAAGATGGTGTCCTCAACCGCCCGGCATGGGAAGCAGGGGTTATCATTATTAACCAACCTCTCCTCTTTTCCTGCCGGTGGGGAGCTTAGGAAGAGACAGAGAAACGAAAGAGCCTCGAAGCCAAATCCAACGGCACCACCATGAACATGAAAGAACTCGAGAGACTGCACGCCTGCTTTGCCCTCCAGGACAAGATCCTCGAACGGCTTATGGTCAGTGAAATGAAGCTGAAGGTCTTAGAAAATCAGATGTTCATCTTATGGAATAAAATGAGTCACCACAAGACGTGGAGCTGTCGGCGGACTTTTCCGGGGGGGAAGCGCAGAGCGAGGGGGCGCGAGTCCATCGTCTCCACCTTCTCCGAATGCACTTCCCATTCCCCCTGACGCGGTCAGAGAGCCTGGGTGGTTGGCCTCTTCCGGTGTCACCTTTACTCAGTAAAACCCCGTCAGAAACTATTGGATTTTCTTAGTAAATCACACTGGAGAGGATGATGGGAGGCTGAAGGGTCACGTCTGGAAAAGAAATCGACTCACCAAGTGAGCCACGTTAGCGCCCTGTGACACAACTGGGCGGCTCTAGAACCGGCCCTTCCTCCCTTTCAGCTGCGCCCCCTGACCCTGCTTCAGGGCGCTATACACCTGTTCACGTGGAGTCTTACAGCGGCCTCCCCAGCGCCCGCGCAGCCTCCGGCCTCCGCCGCCCCGCCCCCCCGCCCCGCCCCCGCGCCCGCCCCGCCCCCGCGCCCGCTCTGCACCCGGAGGCCAGCGCAGGCCCTGCAAGCACGGCTCTGAGTGTGTTCGCGGCCTGTTCTCCAGCCAACAGCTCTCCGTGGTTGACGGAATAAAACCCACACTCCCTCACCGGTGTTCAGGCCCTCCATGATCTGACCTCCTTGCCAGGCTTTTCCCTCTCATTTCTCACCCTCGCACACTTTATACGCTGAGCCGGGGAACCCTGAACATCAGTTATTAGGGTGTCGCCTTTGTGATTGTTGCCATAGTCGTGAACCACCTGAATGTTTAACTCAGTATTGTCCCTCTAAATCGACTCTTTTTCCTTACACAAATTTATGTGTAAAGGAATGTAATAATAAGAACAAAAAAATTTATCTGTAAAGTAAAAACAGCATCATTTGCCTGAAATGGAACTTAACTGTCAAAGACAATGGAAACAAAACGATGTTATTATGTTCCAGCCAGAGCTGGGTTGCCCTCTGAAGGATCTGAACCTGTGAATTTTGGGTTAAAAAAAGGAGATGAGCAAGTGTTAGCTCTTCAAAGACACGCTAGCATCAAGCTGAGACTTTTCTCCATAAGGAGAATTGGAAGGAAAATCACTACCTCGCTGTGATTGCGTGCCTTGTTGGTGTCCCACTTAAAATCATCTCTTTCCTGTCCTGGCCAGGGAGCTCAGTTGGTTAGAGCATTGTCCCCATATGCCAAGGTTGTGGGTTTGATCCTCAGTCAGGGCACATACAAGAATCACCCAATGAGCCCTGACTGGTGTGGCTCCATGGATTGAGTGCTGGCCTGCGAACCAAAGAATCAACCAATGAGTGCTTAAATAGGCGGGACAACAATGTGATGTTTCTCTCTGTCTCTCCCCAACTTCTTCTCTCTAAAATCAATTAAAAATTTTTAAAAACAGTGTAAAAAAAGGTCATCTCTCTCCCCATGAGTCTCATGAACTCAAGCCAAACCAGATGATTGGCCAGCCCCCAGATGCGTGCACATCTCTGCTCACATGGTCCCCTCCCCTGGCACCCTGTTTCTCCCCCTTCCTGCTGTGACAATGTTCCACTTCTTCCAAATCTAACACCTCCAGAAAGCTTCCTCCAATGCGGCTGCAAGGAATCTCTTTCCTTAGCACTCTCCTAGCATTTTATCTGTAGTTCTACAGCAGAATGTGTTACAATCTGCTGACATTTAGTTTGTACACATTTCTGTATTCCCTCCCCACCCTCTAATGAACTTATAGACTCTTGAGGGCAAGCACAGCTTCTTGATCATCTGCATATCCCCCCTAGCACCTAACACAGTAGGTAGTATACAGTCAGTGCTCAATAAATAACATCTGTGATACTGATCACAGTCTTAGGGATCCCGACATTTTCTCTGCCCTCTCATTTTATGATGACTCTCCTGTACCCTATTTTGTTTAGGAACAGGATCTCTGGAGCCTGACTGCAGGGCTTTAAATCCCCACTCTATCAATGCCCAGCTATGTGATCTCCGAAAACTCGAAGATGTTTATTCTTGCCGTACCTCAGTTTTCTCAACTGTAAAATGGGGAGAGTAACGCTACCGACATCATTCATTATTGTGAAGATTAGATGAGTTACTACTATTCCCCTGCCTCCGCTAAGATCTTTGCTCCAATGATTCCTTCTTAGTGAGGCCCCCCGTGATCTCCCCCTTCTACCTCCAGGTCCCCTTTCCACCCTTCTGCTGTTTCTGCAGGGGGCCAACCTGCATGGTCTGCACCATCAGATCCCTTTGCCCTGTGGCTTCCAGTTGAGTTTGGCCAACAGGGATCCCCAGCAGAAGATGACAGGTTAGGCGGAGGCTGAAGTACTTATTCCCTCAGCTCCTTCTGTGGGGTTCCATCAGGGTTGTTTAGGGTTGGCTGGGTCCCTTGATAGAGGGTTACTCCTCTTCTTAGGGACACTCTTTCTACAAGACCTTCTTACAGGTTCCCTTTGGGCCCAGGAGCAGGAGCATCCCCTCACTTGCCAGCCCAGGGGCACTGCACCATCCTTGTGGGTGCCCTCTAGCCTGCTCACGCTTTTGTAAGTGGTCCCTTTTACATGGCTTCACGGGTCATTGCTAATGGCCTTGCTGCATGGCCAGACCATTGGACCATCAGAGCTAGATCATAAGGAAAGTATCCATATGGTAACCCCACGCTGTAGGAACATACAGCAATTCAGCCACAAACTTGATCTGTATGTGAACGAACCCACAATAATGCCCTTTTTCTTGACGAGAACACGTACAATGAAAAGCTGGTCAAGACTATGTGGCCCTGGCCAAGTATCTCAGCTGGAGTGCCATCCTGATGCGCCAGGGTTTCAGGTTCAGTCGCTGGTTAGGGCACATGCAGGAGTCAACCAGTGGGTGCAAGGATGGGTGGATCAACAAACTGATGTCTCTCTCTCTCTCTCTTTCTCTCTGAAATCAATAAATTAAAAAAAAAAAAAAGGCTACGTGGCCATCACATCTACGTTGGTGCCCTAGATCCATGCCTGGACCTCCCATAATAGCAAAACCATCAAGGAGGTCTGGCATAGTCCAATGACAACAATCCATTTGACCTATGAAGTCACTGGCGCTCATGGAGTATGTATTACTTGCCAGTAATGTTGGCCTGTGGCTCAAGGTGACTCAAGGTGGACACAATGACCCGTGGATCTGACCAGTTCACAAAGGGCAAATTGGCTGCCATGGATCCTGACCACCATGGGCCTGGTTTAGGGTTTGGGTGGCTATTCTTTTCCACCAAATGGTCAACTCTTGAGGTTCTGACGAGCACCTTGGTCATGTGCTGGAAGTTTCTGACAGATACAATCTGACAGCAGAATTATCTTTGCAGCACTGGCCCTGAGCTGTGGGCCCTGCCAACACGGCATTTGCTTGCTCTTCCGCACTTGCCACTAGCAGGTGGTGGGCACAGCTGCGCCTCGGTGTGGCTGGCTCAAGAAGCTGTTATATTAGTTGCTTCCTCACCACCCTCTGTGGGCACCCAGGAGGGGAAAGTGTGTACTGACATGTCAGGCAGCATGGTAACCACTGGGTTTTTATGGGGGTAGATGCTCTGGGAAAAGGACAGGTCATCTGGCTCCTCCCAGGCACATGAAAGCGCCCAGCTGATCTAGCAAGAACATATGCAGGCAATCTTACAAAACAGACCGGGGCAAAGGGGTAAATAGTTTCTCCCTCCTCTTCTGGACCTGGACAGGCAATGCTGAACAACCTCAAGCAGCTGCCCAGGCCAGGGCCAGTGGCATGAGCCTATTACAGTACCGCCAACCCCACCTCACCCCAACCCACCACACCCAGCTAGGGGGAACCTAACTGGTGTCTCACTCTGGCAATGGCGAGGGCATTGCTCCCAGCTGGCCATACTGTGGGGGCCTCTGCCACCATGTGCCCATCGTGGATGACGTTCAGGTCCACGGCAGAATATCAAGCAGTGCCCTTTGTATGCCCACAACTGTTTTGCACTCTAGATACTGGTCCTTCTTTGTTTTCTCCTTGGACCTAAAGCCACCTGCATATACAGACCGCTAAGCTCCAGATTCAAATGTTTGACTGCCTCCTTCCACACCTTCACTCAGACACCTCAAAATTAACACGACCCATCCTGAACTGTCCCTCTGCTCCAAACCATCCTCCTCCCACATGCAGGCTTCCTCACCTGATTGCAAAAGTCAACTCCTGCCTTCCAGTTGCTCAGGTCAAACATGTTGGCGCTGTTCCCAACTCTCTCTCCTCTCATCCAGCTCTCAGTCCTCAGCGAGTCCTACCAGCTCTGCCTCTGAACGTACCCAGAATCTGGGGCATTCTCCCAGTCTCCACCACAGCCCCAAGCCACCACCTCTCTCACCTGAACAAACCCTTGCCCTCCTGCCCGACCCTTGCCCTGTAGTCTGCTCTCAACACAGGAGCCGCGGTGCTCCTTCACAAGTGTGAGGCAGGTCATGCCACTCCTCAGCTCCAAACCCTGCAGTGGCTCCCAGCTCCCCGGCTCACTCAGAGAACCAAAGTCCTTCTCGTGGCCTAAGCGTCTCTCTGTGCCCTGACCCTCCCTTACCTTTCTGACTACTCTTCCTACTACTCTGCCCCTCACTGAGTTGGCTCCCGCTGCTGGCCTCCTTGTGATTTTCCTCTAAGGTGCTAGGCACACTCTTACCCTAAGGCCTCTGCATTGGACGGGCCCCCCACCATGGACTCTCTTCCTCTGCTGTCTGTACATCTAACTCCCTTGCTTCCTTTAGCTGATTTGTTAGATGTTCCTTTCTCAACGAGGCCATCCTGGCTGCCCAGTTTAATATCGGAATATGCCCCTCTGATCTGGTTCTACTTTGTCTCCATAGCAGGTATCATTTTCTAATACTCTTTTTAGCTTATCTGTTACACTGCGCCTGCTAGAATATAAACTCCATGAGGTTAGGGATCTTGGTCTGTGTTGTTCACTGAGCTATCTTAAGCACTTAGAACAGTGCCCAGCACTCAGTAGGTGCTCAGGAAATGTGTGTTGACAGTGAGTATATGTTGCGATGTCTGCTTTGCCATCATGGCTTCCTCTAGACCCAAGTGTGACCCCTGGCACATGGTAGACCCTCAAAAAGAGTCTGGTGAATGACTCTATGGGTTCATGAGCAAAGAGATGAGTTAATGAATCAATCAGAGCCTGACTGGGAAAAATTTTGAGTATCTACACAGATCTTTTTGAAGAGACACTTTCCTTTTTAAAGTTTAATTTGTCCTTGATATCTTTTCAGCCACATTCTTCTTTCTGAACAGTCCTGGTGCTGAGGGGCTGGGAGTGGTAATCATTTATTCTCTCTGGGAATGTTCTAGAGTGAATTTGGGGACAAAATTGTAACCTCAGCATGCTATGGGAAGCAGGCCACTTTGAGAGGTAGACATTTGAAGAAAGAGTTTCAGGTGAGCGGCAAAGAGAGGCACCGATGAGGAGTCTCTGAAGGCTAGTGCACTTGAACTTGGAACCCTTCTAACCCTCCATGCAACAGTTAGTGTCACGGTTCTGCTCCTAGTTCTCAAAACCTGAACACTCTCCTCAAAGAAGAAAAATCAGGAAATGCCCCAGAGAAGGACTGGGACTGTTGGACTGAGTTCTGAAAGTGGGAGAAGAAAGGCGGAGATAAGAGAATAGAGTGGGAGTGAGAAGAGAAGGCAAGAGGGGAGTGGGAAAGGTGGGGAGAGGAAGGGAAGAAAGCGTGGGAGAGAAGGAGAAACGGAGAGAGGGGGAGAGGGAAGGAGAAGAGACCTGTGGGGGCCCAGGGAGGAGAGGGAAACCACAGCAGTGATAACAACAGTGGCTAATGTTCATTGAGCATGTACTGTGAGCCAGCCGCGGCACTGTGTGCTTTAGGTGCCTTATCTCATGAAATACTTGCTCCCACCCCAAGGGGGCGGGTTCCATTACATTCCCCTATTTTACAGATGAGCACATTGAGGCCCTAGTCAAGCCAATTAATCTGATCAAAGTCATGTGAGTAAAAAATGGTGGAGCTGGCATCTGAACTCTGACTCCAGGGTCCCCTGGGTGAGGTTTAGGCTGTGCAGATAAACACTGTGATTTTTTTTTCCCCAAGAGAATTGGGCAGTCATAGAAGACTATTTAAGCAAAGGACTGATGTGATTTCTCAGCTACAGAGAGGATGAATAACCCTCCCTCAAGGGGCTGTTGTGGAGATTATGTTGGTTCTTGGAAGAAAGATCTTAGGCAAATACCTGGAGGAAGAGGAGCACTCAAGGAACAGACGATGCTGTAGAGGAGGATTTCACACACAGGCATCTACTGCCACCATGTGGCCATTTTTCTGTATGACAGGCTATGGATTCCAGTTGGCTAAATTTGGGGAGGGTGGGGTTGGTCTGCGCTGTCAGAGAAGGCTTCACTGGGGCTGGGGCAAGGGGCAAGGGGCAAGGGCCAAAGGGCAAGGGCCAAAGGGCAAGCTCCCAGAGAGGAGCTGGTGTCCTGGGGGTGAGAGTCTTTGTCACCAGAGGTGCGGCACCCTGTAGTGGATTAACCGATTCAGACATTCAGCCCTGGTTTGGCAACACAAACCAAAATGAGATGCAGTCTTTGCCCTACAGGACCTCCTGTCTGATGGGGACACAACACAGGAGATGCGGTCGTGTGTGGGAATCAGTGAGGATTCCTGAGTCCAAACAGCAGTCCTGCCACTTCCTGGGACTTCACTTCTCAGAGTATCAGTTTCCTCACATGTGAAATGGGGACAGAATAGAACCTGCCCCAGTGGGATTGTTGTGAAGACCCAAGGAGGTAACAGAAAGCACTAAGCACCTATACCTGGCACACTGTCAGCACTCACTATGCAACCCAGAGGCAGACTTCCCAGCCCACTCTGAGCCTCAGGAAAGGTGAACCAAGCAGCCAGGTAAAAATGGAAAAAACCTGAATCCCAACTCCACTGCTGTCACTAAACTAGCTACGTGACCTCCCCTCCCAGAGCCTGTTCCACCAGCCGTACCATGTGGCGTTTGGGTAAAACCACTCAGTTCTCTTCACATTCTAATTTATTAATCCCCTTTTCCAGGCTAGCCCAGATCTTTGGCCATGGAGGATACAGAAGAAGATCCGGAAGGCTTGCCTCCACCCTTCACATACCCAACCCTGAGCCTTAGCAAAGCGGAGGTAGTAATTCAAGCCCCGTCCAACCACAGGGTGGCTGGGAGGCAACTGAGATAACGACGTGAAAGCGGGTGCAGTCCATGAATTGCAAAGACTTGCTCCTCCAAGGGGGGTCCACGGCATCACCTGGGAACTTGTGAGAAATGACTCCCGG